ACATTTTATCTCTTTAATTTTCATATCCACCCAGAGATCCTTGACATCAAAGACTGTCTCATGCATAGGCATGTCCCCACCACCCAACTCAGGGCCTGGTACTGCAGGATTTATAGAATCAATAAACTCTGTGGGGTAGATATTATTTCCCCCGTTTTAAGGATGAAGAAACCAGTTAAGAGATGTTCAGTCATGTGCTCCAAGTCACACAGCTGGTACGTAAGCTATGGATTTAGGATTGAAACCCAAGCCTGCCTTTCTTCAAAGCTCTTGTACTTTCCATAAAGCCTAAACCAATGGTTCCCAAAGTGTGGTTTCAGGACCTGTGGGTGCAGCAGCAGCAGCAGTAGCCCCTGGGGACTTGTTAGAAACTGGAATTCTTGGGGCCGGGCTTGGTGGCTCACGCCTGTAATCCCAGAACTTTGGGAGGCTAAGGTGGGTGGATCACAAGGTCAGGAGTTGGAGACCAGCCAGCCTGGTCACATGGTGAAACCCTGTCTCTACTAAAAATATAAAAATTAGCCAGATGTAGTGGCGCGTGCCTGTAATCCTAGCTACTGGGGAGGCTGAGGCAGGAGAATCGCTTGAACCCAGGAGGCAGAAGTTGCAGTGAGCCGAGATCGCACAACTGCACTCTAGCCTGGGTGACAGAGCGAGACTCCGTCTCAAAAGAAAAAAAAAGAAAGAAATTCGAATTCTTAGGCCCCTCTCACTGACCCATTGAATCAGAATCTCAGGGGTAGGCCTACCAATCTGGGTTTTAGCAAGCCCTCCAGGGGATACTGATACCTACTGCAGTTTGGGAACCCTGCACTAAACCAGGAAGCTGCCTGGGAAAAGGCAAGAGTAGGTGTGGAGTTAAAGATTAGCTTGGTCATTTTTTTTTTCTTTTAAGTCATCTGCGTAATTGCCAGATTTCCGGAAATCTTACCTTGTCCTCCAAACATTATTGCCATTATTTATGCTGAAAAATTACATGATGGCATGATTTTTTTTAAAGGGAGGGAGGAGAGAGAGAAGACTGCCTGGAGGCAATTACTTAAATCCATTCTTTCTTCAAGTTTCTTTCCTCTGCTAGAAACGATGAGACCTCCTATGGGCAGCCCTGATGAGAATTCCCGAATTCAGCTTCGGCTTTCCCACCTAGCAAGGAGAACTGGCTGTCCTCTCTAGGATAAGACTGGCAAGATGTTGTTAAAGCCTCCAGAGGGCTTCAAAGTTGTAATGACAAAGGTGAAACCAGCTCAGCTCCGCCGGGCTTTATCTACACAAGCAGGAAAGAAATGGCAAGAGCAGCAGGTGCAGCAACCGCCTGAGCAACCATGGTTTCTTATCAGTAGGCCAACAGGGCACTGCCATAAAAGCTGGCTGTTCACTGGACAGATGTTCTTTTTTATGCTACACAGAGGGCCAGGGCTAAGCTTCGCACGAATAACCTGGTTTTAGAGGAAGCTACTTTTCTTCTTGGGGGTCTTGGTGGCAGAAGAGCAACCAGATGCCAGCCAGAGGGGAGAGGCCCAGAGCCCTGTGAGGTCAAGAAGCCCACACCAGGGCTTCACCACTGGGCTCCACCTGGAGAACCCATGAGGCTTTGCAGAGTAAAATCTGAAGACACCCAAAGCTATGGCAACAGGAGGGAGCACTGCCATTGAGTCGCTTTCAATGTTTCCTCCAGGAAACTGTGATATTGACCACTGTGAAAAAGAGAGGAGAGGCTGGCAGGAGTGGATTTGGAGAAAAGAACAGAATTTACAGTAGAACACTCAAGCACAAGCCATTTGCCTAAGTTCACTTTCTCAGGTGACTTCTGCTACAAGGAATAAAAGGAACTGCTCCTTTCTACAGTACTAAAAGTGTTAACAGCGCTCCTCTGCCCCCTCCCACTTCCTCCCACCCATGACCAGGCACTGACAGTTCCCCTGGGCCAGCCTGGCACAACATCACTGGGAACAGGAGTCTGCATTAGCACCTCACACTTTGCCAAAGTAGAAATGGCCTGGATCCAAGAGTGAAATTTGGTGGAAGAAATTAAGACAGGCTGCCATTCTCCCTAATTTTCAGGAAGGCCTCAGATGATCCTTCTGCTTTTTAGCAGGCACAGGAGGAAACAGGACAAATCTTGCCATTTCTTTATTTTTATGCCCACCGATAAACAAGCTATCTCTTTATTTCCTCGCACTCTGAGCAGTGCCAACTTCCATAACAGTTCGTAGACAGTAAACATATCCCCTGCTAGTCCAATTTGAGACAAAATAAAGTTACCCTGACCTAAAAAATAAGATAGATTCCACTTCTACTTCACATATATATGATGGAGAAATAATAATCATTGATCCCATAATAATCTCGGTAGATACTGGGAGATAATATCCAGAGATACTATAGTCTTAATAACCATAGTAACTAATCAGTGAATCTCTCTGCAACGTCTTCCTCTAATGTTGCTAGTCTTTTCCATTTTCATGCCACAGACAGACCATCAGACCATCAGTACATCTTTCTGTTGCACCTGCCTGCTAAATGATTTTCCCATGTTTTTCTTCATGGGCTTTGAGCACTACATATTCTAAATTTTTTTTTGGCGGGGGGGCTTCTACTTTGGCCACTAGGAAGCTCAGGGTCAAGTTTCCAGTCCATTTGCTTATATCACATTCATATATTCATTTAATGATTCTTTCTGCATTTGTCATTCTAAGTTGTACTTTTTTTCTTTGAGACAAGGTCTTGCTCTGTCGCTCAGGCTGGAGTGCAGTGGTGCCATCATGGCTCACCGCAGCCTCAATCTCCCAGGCTCAAGGGAGCCTCCCACCTCAGCCTCTCAAGTTACAGGGACCACAGGCATGGGCCACCATGCCTGGCTAATTTTTATGTTTTTTGTAGAGACAGGGTTTTGCCATGTTGCCCGGGCTGGTCTTGAGCTCCTGGACTCAAGTGGTTCTCCCACCTCGGCCTCGCGAAGTCCTGGGATTACAGGCATGAACCACCACACCTGGTCTTAAGTCGTATTTTTTTTCTGCCATAATTTTTATTTTATATTTAGATTTTACTATTTTGATGGAGGTATTTCCCAAAAACTGAAATCCTTGTAGATAGGGGCACAATTAATTCATTAGTTAATTAAGACCATTCATGGTTTGATCCTTGCCTTCCTCTCCCACCTTATTTCTTTTTTTTTTTTTTTTTTGAGACGGAGTCTTGCTCTGTCACCCAGGCTGGAGTGCAGTGGCCGGATCTCAGCTCACTGCAAGCTCCTCCTCTCGGGTTCACGCCATTCTCCTGCCTCAGCCTCCCGAGTAGCTGGGACTACAGGCACCCGCCACTTCGCCCGGCTAGTTTTTTGTATTTTTAGTAGAGACGGGGTTTCACCTATGTTAACCAGGATGGTCTCGATCTCCTGACCTCGTGATCCGCCCGTCTCGGCCTCCCAAAGTGCTGGGATTACAGGCTTGAGCCACCGCGCCTGGCCTCCTCTCCCACCTTATTTCTAACTGTGTTCTCCTTCCTTCTGTCTTTGCTCCTCCCATTACACTGGCCTTTCTTCGGTCCTTTGTAACTCATCTCAGGGCCTTTGCCTGTGCTGATCCCTACTCTTGCATGGCTTATTACTTCTGGACACTCTTCAGGCCTCACTCGGTTATCATTGTCTCAGAAGAGTTCCCTGAACTTCTGGCTTAAGTCAAATCCCCTAATATATGCTCTCATTGCACCATGTACCTTTCTTTGTAGCACTGTCAGAGTTGTCATTTTATCCTTATATGATTTGATTAATATGTACCTCTCCCACTAGACTATAAGCGCTCTAAAAATAATGCTTGGTAGGCTGGGTGCGATAGCCCACAGCTGTAGTCCCAGCACTTTGGGAGGCTGAGGTGGGCAGATCATGAGGGCCAGAGTTCGAGACCAGACTGGCCAACATGGTGAAACCCCATCTCTACTAAAAATACAAAAATTAGCTGGACATGGTGGCGGGTACCTGTAATCCCAGCTGCTCAGGAAGCTGAGGCAGGAGAATCGCTTGAGCCCAGGAGGCGGAGGTTGCAGTGAGCTGAGATCATGCCATTGCACTCCAGCCTGGGCAACAGAGCAAGACTCAGTCTCAAAAAAAAGCCTGGTGGGTCTGCAATAAATTTTGAATAAATGAATGAATTCATACACACATACACATTAGTTTCTCTGGCTCCAATTTTTTCTGTTCTCCAAAACAAGTATCTAAGTATATCACTCCCCTACTCAAAAAACACGTCATTCTCCAGTGTGTTCATAATCAAGTCTAATCTTTCTCCTTACCACATTCTCCAAGGGCCTCCAAAACTGGCCTCAAACTCTTCCTTTTCTCCCCCTTCCACTAAAGTGACCCTGGACAACCTGACATTCCCCAATACAAGTCCTACACATTCCCATCTCCAGGCGCAAATGTCCCTCCTCAATGACCTGCCCAGGAACTACTCTATACCAGGGGTTAGGCTAAGGTTTGGGTACTGCCCTAGGCGCTCAGATGCCTCCTACCCCTAAAGCTTTCTCTGATTTCTTCAGTTTCCCTCTTAGAGTTGCAAACCCAAAGCCCTCTGTTTATAATCACTTTTATCTCTTACATACGTGCATTATATTTACAGACTATTCTCTTTCCCTCACTAACCTGTAAACCCCTTGAGGGCAAGAACTGGACCAATTCATCCCAAATTCCCAGCTTCAAGTACAGCACCTGGCACACTGTGAGTGCTCAAAATGATTATTTTGCTAACAAATAATAATAATAACATGGAGATTTAAGAACGGCCAATGTAGGAAACTAGTCCAACAGCTAAAGGAATGGATGCTTTCATTATACACCGTGGTGTGGTTCTCCCTTCAACAGGAATTAGAGCTTCATCCTCCTCCCCTGGAAGGTGTGCTGAATTTTGTGACTTGCTTTTAATGAACAGAATGTGGTGAAAGTGATGGTGTGTGACCTTTGAGATTGAGTCATAAAAGGCATGGTGGCATCTTCCTTGCTCTCTCTCTGATTACCTGCTCTGGAGGGAGCTGGCTGCTATGTCATGAAAACACTTAAGCATCCCAGTGGAAGAGGCCATGCTTGAGGAACCAAGGCTCCTGCCATAGCCATGTGAGTGAACCATCTTGGAATTGGATCTTCAAGTTTCAAACAAACTTTTGGATGACTGCAGCCCTGGAGGACATCTTGACTATAACCTCTTAAGAGACTCTGAGCCAGAATCACCCAGCTAAACTGCTTCTGAATTCCTGTCCCAAGAAATTGTGAGATAATACGTGTTTGGTATTTATTTTTAGAGAGAGTGTCTTGCTATGCAGCCCAGGCTGGTCTCAAACTCCTGGGCACAAGTGATCCTCCCGCCTCAGCCTCCCAAGTAGCTGAGACTACAGATTTACATCACCACGTCTAGCTAATATTAATAAATGTTTGTTATTTTAAGATGCTAAGTTTTAGGGTAATTTGTTAAGAAGTAATAGGTAACTAATATATGTATTAAACCATTTCAAAAAAGATTATAGTTTTTAATTCCCATTATTGGGCCAAAGGATATTTCTGTCTCATGAGTAGCTGATTTTACAAGGTTAATAACTCTATTGTTAAAATGTTGATATGCTGGTTGGGCGCAGTGGCTCGCACTTGTAATCCTAGCACTTTGGGAGGCTGAGGTGGGAGGATCACTTGAGCTCAAGAGTTGGAGACCAGCCTGAGCAACATAGTGAGCCCTTGTCTCTATTTTCAATAAAAATAAAAATATGTATGTATAATTTAAAAAATAAAAGAAAATATTGATATGCTATTCTTCCCACCTGATAGACTCTACACATTTTTAGTTCACATCTAAATTTTACTACTTCTTTGAAACCCTCCATGACTCTTACTCCTTCTGTGAAGCTCTCCTTAACCACTCCAACTCATACAAATAATTTTTCTCTGCTCATTGGCGCTGTGGCACCTGATAACCATAACAACTTCCACTTTTTGAGTCTATACTATGTGCCAGTGCACTGGGTTGTATAGTGTCCCTCCAAAATTCCTGCCCACCCTGGAGCTCAGAATGTAATCTTCTTTGCAGATACAGGTAGTTAAGATGAGATCATAATGGATTAGGATGGGCCCTAATTTCAAGGCCTTATGTCATGTGAAGACCCAGAGACACACCCAGGAGGAAGGCCATGAAACAGTGAAGTCAGAGGTTGGAGTGATGAAGCTGTAAGCCAAGGAAGGCCAAGGATTGCTGGCAACCACCAGAGGCTGGAAGAGACAAGGAATGTTCTTCCCTAGAGCTTCAGAGGGCTTTGATTTTAGACTCCTGGCTTGTGGAACTGCAAGAAAATTAATTTCTGTTGCTTTAAACCACCCAGTTTGCGATACTTTGTTGAGGCAGCCCAAGGGTAACTAACATAACTAGTGCACGTCTTATTTCTCCTTTCTAATTTTCACAGTGGTCTTTCAAATTAAATAGGATTAGCTCCTTTGGTAAATGAGATGCTGAGATTCAGCAGTTTGCCTGAGTCTCACAGTGAGGGAAGCTCCAACTGGGGTATGAACCCCATCTCCAGAGGCTGCGCTCTGTCCACTGCTCCTTCCCAACTGGCCTCATTCTATCATGCTCTTGATCTCTCTCTGTAACTGCCTGCAACCACTCATTCCCTTAAAGGCTGTATGTTCCATCAAAGCTGGGGTTTTTTTGTTTTTTTGGTTTTTTTGAGTCGGAGTCTCACTCTGTCACCCAGGCTGGAGTGCAGTGGTATGATCTCGGGTCACTGCAAGCTCCACTTCCTGGATTCAAGCAATTCTCCTGCCTCAGCCTCCCAAGTAGCTAGGATTACAGGTGTGTGCCACCACGCCCAGCTAATTTTTGTATTTTTAGTAGAGACGGGGTTTCACCATGTTGGCCAGGCTTGTCTTGAACTCCTGACCTCAGGTGATCCACCCACCTCAGCCTCCCAAAGTGCTGGGATTACAGGTGTGAGCCACTGCACCCAGCCCAAAGTTGGTTTTATATCATGTAATTCTTCTATGTCTCTTTCAGCCCATTATGTTTAATAAATACTTAATGATGGGATTATTTTAAATTTCAGAGGATTAAAAATTAAAACTATAAGAGGAAAAATAACTATTTGGTAAAAACAAAAACATGACAATGACCCATGAGCCCTAGAGGCAATCTATCACTGACGTCTTCAAACTGTAAAATACTCTGATGATACTTGTTCTCTGGAACCAGGTACCAAAATGGACAGTATTTGTCAATATTCCTAACAGGAATAAAAAACAGAAAGGGTATTAGAAGGAGGAAATAAATGTCAGAGATAATGTGGTCATCAAGTGACCAGTTATGTTGCTTAACTCGTAGATGTGAAGCTTCTTGTGTTAAAGGCAAAGACATTTCCTTTCCCTGCATCAGACATTTGGATTCTAAAGCCCCTCCAGGGTTCGCATAATCCTCTCTCCTCAATGGAAGATAATGGGTATCTGTAAGATTTTAAAGGCATTTCAGTTAAAGAATGTCCACAATTTCTTCAAGACTCCTTTCTAGTGTCTAACAACCTTCCATGCGTTCTAACAACTCACAAAGTCTTAGGAAAGAATTTTGCACTTTCTTATTCTTAGTACAGTGACCACTGGAGATTAATCTTAAATTACTTTCTTAAATGCATCCCAGAATGAGCTACAGGTAGATGTTAAATGTTCGGGGCTCAGATTCTCAGTCTAACCTTTAAGAAACTGATGATTTCTCTTATTTAGTAAGCTGGGAAATGGCACTCTATGGAGATAATATCCTTGGTCTTGGGCAACAGAAAATGAGAGAATTTGCAGAGCAGTGCAAAGGGCCTGTTTAGATCCATTTGGGCTCTGGTCTCAAACCTAAAGGAGAAAATTCTGAAGTACGTAAAAGCTAGAAAGGGAGGTGACAAATTTTGGCTCAAAATATTCAACAACTGCTTAACAACTACCAATGTTTAAAAATTAATACTTTTTTACCCCAATGGCACAGTTTTCCTTTAGAAATAGTGAGCTCCTCATTACCAGAAAGGTTCAGGCTACCAAAAGATAAGTGCCCATCCAGGTATTGTAGGCAAGGATGCCTTGGGACTGGAGGACCACTAAAATTCACCCTAACACCAGCAATGTTATGAAGTGACAGTTTTATATCTAGGTGACACTCCCCAGAGTGGGTTACTAGCCACTCTATTTTCATGTGATTGGGATGGGAGGTCAAAGTAATTGATTCCAAGCACAAAATTAGGCAATTTCAGTTTTCCTTCATTGTTTTGCATCAGGTCAGGAAAGGGATGCTCCAATTAGCATGCAGGTTTATCAAAATTAGAGTCCAATTTTTTTGTTTGCTTTTCATTTTGTATTAGCAGTAAGGTTCAGACTTAGAAAACCACATTCTAGGTCTATGAAACTCAATTTATTTTATTTTTCATGCTGCATAGTTTTGTGGATCTTTTAAAAGTGCCTTTAATAAGACCAGGTGCAGTGGCTGACGCCTGTAATCCCAGCACTTTGGGAAGCCAAGGCAGGTGGATAACTTAAGGTCAGGAGTTCGAGACCAGCCCGGCCAACATGGTGAAACCCTATCTTTACTAAAAATATAAAACTTAGCTGGGCATGGTGGCATGCGCCTGTAATCCCAGCTGCACGGGAGGCTAAGGCTGGAGGATCCCTTGAACCTAGGAAGCAGAGGTTACAGTGAGCTAAGATCACGCCACTGCACTTTAGCCTGGGTGACAGAACGAGACTCTTGTCTCAAAGGAAAGACTTGAAAAAAAAAAAAAAAGCAGGCCAGGTGTAGTGACTCATGCCTGCAATCCCACCGCTTTGGAAGGCCAAGGTGGGAAGATATGACCTGAGCCCAGGAGTTCAAGACCAGCCTGGGCAACACGGTGAGACCTAGTCTCTGAAAAAATTTAAAAATTAGCCGAGTGTGGTGACATGTGCCTGTAGTTCCAGCTACTCAGGAATCTAATGTGGGAGGATCACTTGAGCCCAGGAGCTTGAGGCTGCCGTGAACAGTGATCGTGCCACAGCACTCCAGCCTGGGTGAAGAGTAGGACCCTGTCTCAAAAAATAAATAAATAAAATAAAAAGGTAACATCATATCAGGCTTCTCAGACTTGAAAGAATTTGAAGTCCGGGTGTGGTGGCTCACACCTGTAATCCCAGCACTTTGCAGGGCCAAGGCGGGTAGACCACAAGTTCAGGAGATCAAGACCATCCTGGTCAACATGCTGAAACCCCGTCTCTACTAAAATACAAAAAATTAGTCAGGCATGGTGGTGCGCACCTGTAGTCCCTTCTACTTGGGAGGCTGAAGCAGGGGAATCTCTTGAACCTGGGAGGTGGAGGTTGCAGTGAGCCGAGATTGCACCATGGCACCCCAGCCTGGTGACAGAACAAGACTCCATCTCAAAAAAAAAGAAAAGAAAAAAGAATTTGAGTAGTGGAGGGCCTAGGAAGTATGAAAATATATTTTCGTATTTTCAGCAGTTGTCAAGCACTGACTATAATTATCTCTTGTGTTCTTTATCTGGTATGACATAGAAGGAGAGCTTAAGAAAGAAATGTGACAAACAGCCCAATTTTTAATCACTCACCAGAGGGACAATACAGACTGAGGAAAAGATGAGTTTGACTTATTTTCAAAAAATTTGGCAGAATTCTCCACCCGGCCCATCTGCCCTGATCTGGACAAGCTGGCAGCTTGACAAAGCAGACAAGCTCTTGAGCCTGGCCCTCCATGTCTCAGTGATTCCCTGGTGAAAATGAGCACTCTTGGCCTTTCTCACAGCCAAAGCTGTCCGAGCTTATCAGCTGACCACAGATGGAGAAAGCTATTGATGTCATTAAAAATCCATGCTACAGGCCAGGCACGGTGGCTGACACCTGTAATCCCAGCATTTTGGGAAGCCAATGCAGGCTGATCACTTGAGGTCAGGAGTTCGAGACCAGCCTGGGTAACATGAAAAAACTCCATCTCTACTAAAAATACAAAATTTAGCTGGGCATGGTGGCACGTGCCTGTAATCCCAGCTATTTGGGAGGCCAGGCAGGAGAATTGCTGGAAACCCAGGAGGCAAAGGTTGTAGTGAGCTGAGATCGCATCACTGCACTCCAGAATGGGCAACAGAGCGAGAATCCATCTCAAAAAAAAAAGGGCTTTTTTAGAATTATTTCTGAGTGATGAAAATTGGGGTAAATTTTTATTTTCTTTACTTTTACTTTCCTGTATTGCTTGTTTTGTTTTTTTAAGGATCATACCTGGGATTACAGTGGTGAGCCACTGCACCTGGCCTTGCACTTTTTTATTTTACAAGTGTAAGTTTATGTGGTTCAGCCACACTGGCTTTCTGTCCATCCTCTGAGCACCAGGCTGAGTTTGTCCCTCATATTTGCCTGCCAAACTCCTCCACACCCTTCAGATCCATGCTTAAACTCACTCCTCAGAAAGGCCTGCTCTCACTTTCCCCATCTAAGTCTCCTTGAAATAATCTCTCATCATATCCTTCACTTTTCTTGCAGAGCACTTAACGAAATGTATAACTACAAGTCGATTGGAATGGTTATTTGTGAGTATTGACTTGGCTTCCCAAGCCAAACGAGCTTCTTCCTGGGACCACCTAAGTTGGGAAATGTGAAAGGGAAGAGAGGAGGCTGGTGTAGTGTGGGAGAAGGGTGGAACACTTTACTCCTGGTTGGGGGAGGGGAAGCAGCTGAGAAGGGATTTGAAAGATTAAGAATGATGTATGGGGATTTTAATTCTGTTTCTGTGAATAAATTAAAACTTTTCCTCCTGGAAAAAAAAAGTCCTTAGTGAAGACTACATTGCTCATTAGCGTCATCTTGCCGTAGTGGTGGTGTTTTTTGCTTGGTATGTATGTTTTTATGTATGAAGATGAATTCTTAACACCCTAGGAAGTGCTAAATTGTGTATCCAGATTGTGCAGGGTTAAAAACAGACTGCTTGGCCGGGCGCGGTGGCTCATACCTGTAATCCCAGTACTTTGGGAGGCCGAGGCGGGCAGATCACGAGGTCAAGAGATCGAGACCATCCTGGCCAACATGGTGATACCCCGTCTCTACTAAAAATACAACCGGGTGTGGTGGCGCATGCCTGTAATCCCAGCTACTCAGGAGGCTGAGGCAGGAGAATCGCTTGAACCCGGCAGGCGGAGGCTGTAGTAAGCCAAAATTGTGCCACTGCATTCCAGCCTGGCAATGGAACAAGACTCTGACTCAAAAAAAAACCACAAAAAACAAACAAAAAAACAGACTGCTTGGCCAGGCATGGTGGTTCACATTTGTAATCCCAGCACTTTGAGAGGCCAAGGGGGTGGGGGTGGATCACCTGAGGTCAGGAGTTTGAGACCAGCCTGGCCAACATATACAGAAACTCCATCTCTACTAAAAATATACAAAAATTACCAGTGGGGCACGGTGGCTCACGCCTGTACTCCCAGCACTTTGGGAGGCCGACGTAGGTGGATCATTTGAGGTCAGGAGTTCGAGACCAGCCTGGCCAACATGGTATTACGCCATCTCTACTAAAAATACAAAAATTAGCCAGGCGTGTTGGTGGGCACCTGTAATCCCAGCTGCTTGGGAGGCTGAGGCAGGAAAATCACTTGAATCCGGGAGGTGGAGGTTGCAGTGAGCAGAGATCGCACCACTGCACACTCCAGCCTGGGTGACAGAGCAAGATTCTGTCTCTCTCAAAAAAAAAAAAAAAAAAAAAAAGAGACCGCACACAAGGAAGCAAAAGTGGGAGGGTGAGGAGCCAGAAAATCTCCCTCAATTGAAGTAATAACCCCTAGAAATGCTCTGAGGTCACATGGGAGCTCCAGTAGGGTCCTTTTGAAAACTGGTGGGATTCCTCAGTTATGGACCAAGAATAAAGTATGTGTGTGTATTGCCTATTAATTTATAAAAGTATTAAAGGATTGATAGCATTGCCAAGGATGTGAGAAAAGGTGAGGGTGTGCAAGGTTAATGAGAAGTAAAAATTGATGCAATTTCTCCAAAAGATAAATTGAGTAATAGGGAACAATATGAAATATATATGCCCTTGGTCAAATAATCCTCATTTCTAAGAACATAATTTAAGGAGTTAACTGAATGACAGTTGAGCAAATGTTTACAACTATATGTGCAAAAGTGTTCACTTCAGTATTGTTTATACTAATAGAAATTGGTTGGTTATCTGAATTGGTTAGTTATATAAACTATATTACATACAGCCTACAGAACTCTATGCAGCCTTAAAAATAATAAAGTAGCCAGGTGTGGTGGCACAAGCCTGCAGTCCCAGCTACTTGAGCCTCAGGCAGGAGGATACCTTGAGCCCAAGAGTTCAAGGTTATATTGCACCATGATGACACCTGTAATAGTCGCTGTTCTCCAGCCTGGGCAGCATAGTGAGACTCTATCTCTTAAAGAGAAAAATGATAATGTAGACCTATATTTATTAACATGTAGCAATGCCCCCTGCAATATTATTGCATGAAAAAAACAGGTTATGAAACAGCATGTATGGAATAATCACACTTATGGAAAATTATATATTTATGACTGGACATGGTGGCTCACACCTGTAATCCCAGCACTTTGGGAGGCTGAGGGGGTAGATCACCTGAGGTCAGGAATTCGAGACTAGCCTGGGCAACATGGTGAAACCCTGTCTCTACTAAAAATACGAAAATTAGCTGGGCATGGTGGCCCACGCCTGTAGTCCCAGCTACTTGGGAGACTGAGGGAGGAGAATTGCTTGAACCCAGGAGGTGGAGGTTGCAGTGGGCCAAGATTGTGCCATTGCACTCCAGCCTGGGCGACAAGAGAAAAACTCTGTCTCAAAAAAAATTATATATTTATATCCATACATATAGAAGTCTAGAAAGTCTATCAGTATGGAGAGAAAGCTGGCAAGATATAATGAAATGTTTACAATGAGTTTAACCAATTATGAAATTCTGGGTAAGTTTCGTGGTCTTTTTGGCATTCTGTATTTCTTGAATTATTAGAATAAGAGAGTATAATTGTTGCAAAAACAATAAGATTATTTTAAAATAGTATTCAATAAGCCAAAAGGGAATAGAGAAATTTAAAGTTCATCTCATTCAAATCAACTCTTTGTATGCTTTTCCTTGAGTATGCAATTTGACTACTGTGCTGTAGTTTTCTTGCTGCATTCCTAAAGCAGTGATCTATACCAACAGATATGGTGATTAAAAATGTTCATATGTCATCTTTATAGAAAGATGCTGAAAGTATATAAAAGATCTTGTGGCATACTGTAAAGTAGGTGTCTTTGTAATAAACTCTCATATCCTTTATTTTTCTTTCCTAGTACTTAACCAAATTTATAACTATAGGTCCATTGGAGTGGTTGGTTATTTGTATCAACTCTGTTTTTCCTAGTGGTATGCTTCAAAAATGGCAACAAATTCTTCCCATCCCCATATGTATGCCCCTACATAATGACTTTGCAGGGGCTCCCATAGAGAAGTGAAGTCTATTTCATGGCCTGACCATGTGACTTGCTTTGGCCAATAGGACATTAGCAATGATGACATGGACAGAGGCTTGAGAAGAGCTTGCACATTGGGGCTTGCTCTGCTACTGCACTTGGAATTCTGAGACCATCCTATAAATGAGTGTAAACTAGCCTGCTGGAGGATAAGAGGCCATCTAGAAGAGAACCTGGGTACCTCACTCAACAGCCTGTCAATGTCAGACCTCTGGGTGAAGCATTTTAGGTAATCTAGCTTGCAGTCAATCTACCAGCTGACCACAGTCACACAAGGGAGCCCATAGATCAGCCATGCTGCCCTAGACCAAACTACAGGACTGTGGGCTGAACAAGGGGTCCTGTTTAAGACAATAAGCCTCAGGGTGGATTGTTATATAGCAAAAGCTAACTAATACAGATCCCCCTACCTTTTTTGTGAGACAGGGTCTTGCTCTGGTGCCACTGAAACCTCAACCTTCTGGGTTCAAACGGTCCTCCTACCTTAGCCTCCCAAGTAGCTGGGACCACAGGGGCACACCACCACGCCCAGCTGATTTTTGTATTTTTAGTAGAGATGAGGTTTCACCATGTTGCCCAGGCTGGTCTCAAATCCCTGAGCTCAAGTGATCCACCCGCCTTGGCCTCCCAAAGTGCTGAGATTACAGGTGTCAGCCACTGCACCCAGTCCCTTATTTTTTTTTAGAGAGAGAGAGTCCCACTGTGCTGCCCACGCTGGAGTGTAGTAGCTTGATCACAGTTCACTGTAATCTTTAACTCACAGGTTCAAGTGAACCTCCCACCTCAGTCTTCCTAGTGTCTGGGACTATAGGCATGGGCCTCCACACATAGCTAATTTTGAAAACTGCTTTGTAAAGATGGGGTCTTGCTATGTTGCCCAGGCTGGTCTTGAACTCCTGGGCTCAAGTAATCTGCTGGCCTCGGCCTCCCAAAGTGCTGGGATTATAGGGATGAGCCACTGCATTCTGCCTTTTTTTTTTTAAATGGAAAGGTTATCTGAAGCTGGGCACAGTGGCTCACGCCTGTAATCCCAGCACTTTGAGAGGTCAAGGCAGGGTGATCACTTGAGGTTGCGAGTTCAACACAAGCCTGGCCAACATGGCAGGGTGTGGTGGTGCATGCCTGTAATCCCAGCTACTCAGGAGGATGAGGCATGGGAATTGCTTGAATCCGACAGGCAGAGGCTGCAGTGAGCTGAGATTGCACCGCTGTACTCTGGCCTGAGTGACAGAGCAAGACTGTCTCAAAAAAAAAAAAAAAAAAAAAAAAAGCCAGCTGCGGTGGCTCACGCCTGTAATCCCAGCACTTTGGGAGCCCAAGGCGGGCGTATCACAACGTCAGGAGTTTGAGACCAGCCTAGCCAATATGGTGTAATCCCGTCTTTACTAAAAATACAAAAATGAACTGGGCATGGTGGCAGGTGCCTGTATTCCCAGCTACTCAGGAGGCTGAGGCAGGAGAATCGCTTAAACTTGGGAAGCAGAGGTTGCAGTGAGCTGAGATCGTGCCACTGCACTCCAGCCTAGGCAACACAGGTGACTCTGTCTCAAAAAAGAAAAAGAAAAAGTAATACACAGGCAAAGAAGACCTCCATTATTGGGCCATTGGAGTATGAAAGATCCATATTTGCAGAAATTGTCTAAATTTCACAGGGCTAGATAGTTCTTGGTAATGTTCTTTTCTCAGAGTTTAGTCTCTCCAGTGTCTAACGCAGGATTAACCCCCTCTTTTCAGGATTCATCCTGAATGAAAAGGGAAACTCTAAAGTCTGACTGAGGCAGGAGAATCCTTCAAGGCCAGGAGTTCAAGGCTGTTATTTCCATATTCCCTTTTGGCCTATTGAATACTATTTTAAAATAACCTTATTGCTTTTATAACAATGATACTTTCTTATTGTAATGATTCAAAAGCTAGGCACAGTGGCTCACGCACTTTGGGAGGCTGAGGTGGGTGGATCACCCGAGGTCAAGAGTTTGAGACCAGCATAGCCAACATGGTGAAACACCATCTCTACTAAAAATACAAAAATTAGCTGGGAGTGATGGC